CTACTCACCTTATAATATGAAACTTCACACTTGATAAGTTACAACGCCAAAAGGGGACAAGCAGAAATAAAACATGTCCTTTCCACCCAGGGCAAAGCTATCATTTGCAATGTGCATTGTAATTATTTATAGTTAATTATCCCAGTGGTGAATTTCAGGCATCAAAACCAGAGTATTTTGTCTCCTTGGCTGAAAAGAAAAGGAAGAAAAAAGAGGGATGAGGGGAGATTAGGTCTTAGATGAGCCAAATTTTCAAAATTTAGATGGCTAACCAAGTTGAATACTTAGCTGGAAAAAGCAGCAATAACTAGATGCCATTATTATTTTGTTTAGAATCATTGCAGGCTGCACAACATTTGTGTTAAAAAAAAAGAACCCTCACCCACATTGGATAAATAGCTGTGATTTTCAGTTTCTTGCATGTTAATTTTTCTATGAGTTTCCACACCTTTTTGAAATATTTGGACCTAATTAAGGCTATAACCAACATACTGTGGTACAATATTAAAATGGATCAATGTTCATGCATGCATCTAAACTAAAAAAAAGAGCAAAAGATAGAACTAATAAAATGAAGAACAGGAAGAAAAGATGTTTGTGGGGTCTTAAATCTTCAGAACACCCAGTATGGTGTGATATAAGTATCTACAAACCGATGTGTCATAAAAACAATATAGCCACATTCACATGTAACATTTAATAATTCTTCAGCATTTCAAGGACAAGGCCAGAAGGACTCTCAAGAGAAATCTGCAAGCTTTTTGTTCCAGTTTGGATTAAATGAAAAGTTAAATGAACTTTTATTGAGTTGTCCAGAATCAACAAATTGTACTTGATGGTCATGGTAACTGAAATACTCACTGTTTATCAAATGGACTAATCATAACGAAGATTAACCTCAGTGTAGAGTTTGGACATACAACCGAATCACAGTTCATTTGGACATATAGTTAAACTACGGTTAGGTAATGGAAACTTTCTAGCTCTTTATTGCAGATAAGGCAAAGGCTCTGAACAATATTTTTTTGTCCAGCATTAGACATAAAGGCATTTAACACTGATTACATTTTGACTCTTTTCAAACGATCTTTGTGGTGATGGAAGCAGATAAAATATAGCTTATTTATCCATCTTCAAAAATATGTCCTGATACATTTTGGGTATAGTGTGTACCATACTCAGCTAAACAGGTAAAAACAATAAGAGACTCAATCCCAAACAACACATACTTTCCTCTGGCACAATATATTTGCAAGGGTCCACCAATGTTTTTGGAAGCATTTTAGGGAAGGTTTGGGATTTTGAACTCTTTCTATTGAACCATTTCCAAAATTAAAATAACTCCAGATAGTTGTTTAATTTTCTCAGTTGGAAGATACACAATGAGGGCACATGGAACTGGTGCAAATTATGTACTTTCACTGTTTCAAATTACATGATTTGCATCATTTGAACCAAATTCCAATAATAGGGGGATGTCTTCTCTCTCCCACCCTTCGTACATGTGAAAGTATGAACCATTTGAAGTTACAAAGAACCATCCCAACGTTACTTATGGCCTGATTTCCGAGTTCCAATGATGACACTTTATGATCACATGACTACATTTTGGGCACTAGGCAACCAACTCATCTTTACATCTGATGGCATCATTCTGTGGTCATTTGACCAATGTTTTTTCCAACAAAAAACACCCTTAGAAATAAATGGATCTGTTTAACAATTATGGTATTCATTTAATAACTGCTGCAAAGAAAGTTGTAAAATCAAGTTGGTTATGTGGGTCCCTTGATTTATGACCATCATAATTTATCATGGAAATTCCAGCTTATGTCCATAAGCTAAAGACTACCCATATAAACCAATTGTCCTTCATTCCATTGATTCTCTCAGCCCTCCCTTTTGCTTTTCAAGAATAGGCTCCTGATTAGCATTCACCAAGGTCCATGAAACAGGGTTGGTTCTCCCTCCCCTTATTGTTCAGTTTGTGCAAAATGCATCCCCTCCAAAATAGCGATAGTACTTAGACTTATATACCACTTCACAGTGCTTTACAGCCAGTGGTGGGATTCAAATAATTTAACAACTGGTTCTCTGCCCTAATGATTTCTTTCAACAACCAGTTTACCAAACTGCTCAGAAAGTTAACAACCAGTTCTCCCGAAGTGGTGCGAACTGGCTGAATCCCCCACTGTTTACAGCCCTCTCTAAGCGGTTTACAGAGTCAGCATGTTGCCACAACAATCTGGGTCCTCATTTTACCAACGTCAGAAGGATGGAAGGCTGAGTCAACCTTGAGCCTGGTGAGATTTGAACTGCCAAATTGCAGGCAGCCAGCAGGCAGCAGATGTTGCCTGCAGTACTGCACTCTAACCACTGCGCAACTGCGGCTCAAAAGAACAGTTGTTGGCAGCTAGCCTTCCCCATCTTGGCAACTTCCAGATACAGCACATTGACTACAATGTCCAGAAGTCCATCTTCAGTTATTATAGCAATAGCATGTAGACTTATATACCGCTTTATAGTGCTTTAGAGCCCTCTCAAAGCGGTTTACAGAGTCAGCATATTGCCCCCAACAATATGGGTCCTCATTTTATCCACCTCGGAAGGATGGAAGGCTGAGTCAACCTTGAGCCTGGTGGGATTTGAACTGCCAAATTGTAGGCAGCTGGCTGCAGCAGAAGTAGCTTGCAGTACTGCACTCTAACCACTGCACCACAGAGGCTCCACAACTCCATTATGCTGGGAGTTTTGGGAATTCTAGACCCACACATTTAAAGGACATAAATTAGTGAAGGCTGTGTTAAATCTTTATGTTAGTAATGTAAAAGTATATTTCTTTAAAATAAAGTGGAAAACATGTGCTTTCTTTATACTCTGTACTGACCTTCAGTTAATAATATAACGTGGCTTAATTTCTAGGAATGTTCAAAGCTTTGAAGAAGAGATTTGATTTAAAGAAAACTCCATCAAATCGAATCTTTAAATCAAATCTTGGAAGCATTTCAAGGTGTTGGTATCAAATCAAGTGGCAATAATAACTTCAGATATATTCAAAGAAAGTTTTAGAGTTAGATCAGTGTTTTTCAAGCTTTGAAACCTCAGGCTGGCTGGGGCATTCTGGGAGTTGAACTCCACACATCTTAAAAGTTGCCAAGTTTGAAAAAGACTGGATTAAATGGATTTTAAGATGTTTTTGGGTTTCTAGTTTAAAATACTGTTGTGGTTTTCCCTCCATATAAGGAACAAGTTGTGGGGGGAGTTGAATGGTATGATCTAGTTTGTGTTAATATAAGTAGTTTGTGATAAAATTGTCAAGATTGCTTGTAGAATTGCTCACGTATATCTTACTCTTCTGATGGAGTTTGTGACTTTTGTGATTAGTGTTGTAATAATTTCATTACATACATAGAACTAAGATAGTATTGTTAGACTCTTGCATATAATGCAGACTGTTGCTTTATATCATAATCAAGAGCAGAGTTTTGATCTCACAATTTTGACATTTTTGACCACATCCCATGGACATCCCTGATCATAATGTATTATGTATAATAACTTGTGCAAGTATCAGATTAAAAAAATATTATGCAAGCCATACCATGTGAATTTGTATACCATCCCAGAAAAGCGAATGGTCAGAAGGTGGTGTACTTGATCTTTATTCAGAATTTACTTTTTAAACATTTAAACACTTGAAGTAGAGCATGTTTCTGCATTGCTTTAGCAGAATTTCTCTGTAAACTCTCCGCTGGGAAGTTTGGAGGCTGCTCTGCTCCCATTTCCTTATCTCTACACCTTTTGCCATAAGTGAGGTGCAAGAGAAATATTTCAAAACATTGGTGGAATTTTTCAAAGTTAATATATTTGAGATGGTTTGTTATTCTTGCATTTTCATTCCTTTCTGCTCAAATGAAATAGCTCCAGCTATTTTGGTGATTCCCCATCATAGCCTAGGGCAGTGGTGGCTAACCTTTTTGGGCTCCTGTGCCAAAAATTGTGTGCATGCTGGCGCGTTCGTGCTCGCTGCCAGAAGGCAATGTGCGCCGCCCCCCTGCCCCCTGAGCATGAGCATGCAATTCCCCTATGCACCCCCATGCCACCCGCCCCCACCCCCTTAACTGCACTGCACAGCTGATTTTCGGCTGGTTTGAGGCCTTTTTCAGCCTTCCTGCAGAGCTTTTTTGAAGCCTCTGGGAGGCCAAAAAAGCCCTCAAATCAGCCAAAAATCAGCTGTGAGGTGTGTGAATGTGAGGTAAGTTTGCCTGTGGCTTGTGTACCGGCACAAATGGCTTTGTGTGCTGCCTGTGGCACATGTGCCATAGGTTCACCATCACAGGCCTAGGGTCAAGTCTTGCAGTGCATTGGATATTGAACAGATTCATATAAAATCTTACTGCCTTTGATTTGATTCAATTATTTCCATCTTTGAATCTTAAATATGAATGAATCTTGGCTGATCTGCATATCCTTATTAGAGATGCACATAGTTAGCCTGAATGATGACAAAATCTTGAAGTCTGTTGGAATATGCAAGCTCTACTCTTTCACAGATGTTGTCTGATATATACGTAAGGGTTAGCATTTACATCATGATGTTGCAAGAGATTATATCGCTTGCCTACTCTCCATGGGCACCCCAACTCTCAGAGGCATTTACAGAAGAGAAGCCCCATCTTTTAAACCATGGCTCTTATGTGTAAGATGTTAGAGGGAAGGACTTGGATCATTTAATTGTAGCTGCCATTTTGACTGTTTTGACCGTTCATGATGTCAGCTTTTCTGACTTCATCTCTGTAAGTTTGTGCTATTTGTTGGTATTCTGACTTAGTTACGTGCCCCTTTTTCCATTTTTTGTACTTATTCTTTTTGTATTTCAGTTTATCAGAGAGTTCTTTGTGGAACCATGCTGATTTCTTCTTGGATTTCTTGTCTTTCTTTTTCAGTGGTATTGAGCTGGAATGGGCTTTTAAAATCACATTTTTCAGAGTTTCCCAAACTTCTTGAATTGATTTCCCCTTTAAAATTTTCATCCATGGAATTTTTCCCAAGCTCTCTCTAAGTTTGTTAAAATTAGCTCTTTTAAAGTCTAAGACACTGGTTTTATTATGTTCTATTGTTTATGTTTGCATTCTGTTGAATTCCAATATGACATGGTCACTCTCCCCCAAAGTTCTGGCAACTTCAACCTCCTCCATCACTTATACTCTGTTAGTAAAAAAATTAGGTCCAGTATACCTGTCCCTTTAGTACCTTCCTACACCTTTTGGATGACAAAGTTGTCAGCTAGGTTGGTCAGGAACCTGTCCGATCTCCCACTTGATGCAGAGTTTGTCTCCCAGTTGATATCAGGGTAATTAAAGGCCCATTACTATTGTGGTATGTTTCATACATACATTTGTTAACTACTTAGCAAAAAGTCCATCTATTTTTTGTTCTTGGCTGAGTGGCCTGTAAGGATACACCTATGGCAATGTCATTCTTTTTTCCTTTTTATTCCTTTATATTGACTCATATTCATTCTTGGAGGCTTTCATTCCTGTTTTTGTGCATTTCTATGGAGATGTAATGATCTCTTACATATAATGCAACTCCAACTCCTCTTGTTAGTCTGTTTCTTTTGAACAGTTTGTATCCTTCCATTAGTACATTCTAATCATGAGATTTAAAAAAATAAAATAAGTCCAACCCTGCAACCATGTGGGAAAACAAAAAGCTAATTAGTATTTTGGCTGGGCAGCTACCAGGGGGAGTCAGGAACTATAGGCTAGACTCACAATAGTGAAAACATCCTTGAAGAAATTGGTGGGCATCCTCTTCTGTATTGTCAAACAATTTATACAGCTGGATCCATGAAATATCCAGGAGTTGAATTTGACATTAGATAAATGCTTCTGAGAACAAACAGGAATGGTAGCATAACACCTGCCTGCATCCCTTTAAAGCAGCTGCATTATATTCTGAGATTGCAAGACTTTATATCTCTACATCTTCATCTTTTACATCTTCTATGGCAGTGATCACCAACCAGTGGGCTGGGGACCACTGGTGGTCCATGAGAAAATTTTGGTGGTCCACAGAGAAATGTAACCCCCAAAGCAATTAATCCAGACTGCGCAAGAACACAAGGCTGCACCACCCACATGGCCCGTGGGACCACAAGGCTTGTATTGCTTGCATTGTGAACAACATGAGGTAGTGAGGGGAGGGGGGAAAGGGTGGAGGGGGGGAACTTGCCCATTCACCCTACATGCCTGGCCTGGCCACTGGGCTGTTTTTTTCCACTTCTTTCTTCTTCTGCTTTTGGCTACATGCAAGGAAACCAGCAAAAGTCTTTCTTTCTCTCCCCCAAACTCCACCAGAAATGAGTCTTTGGGACCCTGCAAGGTATCCTGCTCCAAGAGGCTGCTCTGGCAAAGACTGCTCTGGTGGAGTTTGGGGGAGAGAAAGAAAGACTTCTGCTGCTTCTATTGCTTTCCTTGCATGAAGCCAAAAGTCTCTCTCTCTCTCTCTCTCTCTCTCTCTCTCTCTCTCTCTCCCCCCCCCCCCCCCTCTCTCTCTCTCCCCCCCCCCCCCGAGAATGGAGCTGGAGACGGTATCCTGCAATCCCAAATAAAGAATGATCGATTGGTAGGAAAATGGGGTGGGGAATTTTCCTGCATACTTTTTTCCTGCAGTCACCATCAGTCAAAATTCATATTAGTGGTCTGCGGGATTTAAAATTATGAGTTTGGTGGTCCCTGAGGTCCACAAGGTTGGCGACCCCTGTTCTATGGGACCTCAGGAAATAGGGGGGGGTCCTTAGTGCTCTCCGAGCTGGATTGTTTTCTTGCAGACATTTCATTACCCAAATTAGAACCAAGCTCAGAGAGTACCAAGGAATTCTCATTTCAAACTCGAGTTACAAGTGTTCTCCTTTGTTGATCTTGGGAAAAGAGTGCTAGATGCTGAAGCACATTTTGAGAACTGCATCGCAAGCAGATAAACTCACACCTACACTCAGATAGAAGTTCTTCAATTGTTGTTCACCACTTTTCTCCCTTGTATGGGAGGTATATGTATATGTATATTGGAAGTATATGTATATTGGATTCAAAATTACTTTTGTGTTTTGTATATTGTGTTCTAATGTGGCCAGAAATAGGAGAGGGGTAATCATTCTTTAATAACTCCCCATACATGGCTAATGAGTCACAAATAAATGCCCTAGACAGCTCATATAAGGTTGCTGTACAATAATATTTGCACACTGCAGATTAATCAGCAGTGGAAGACAGATGTATGTAAGTAGGTTTCATAAATTGTAGCTCTATACCAGAGGTCTTCCAAACTTGACAACTTTATGACTTGTGGACTTCAACTCCCATAATTCTCCAGCCAGCATAGAATTCTGGGAGTTGAAGTCCAGCATAGCTGGCTGGAGAATTCTGGGAGTTGAAATCCACAAGTCTTAAAGTTGCCAAGTTTGGGGACCCCTGCTCTTTACAAATCATTAAGTCTCCCTGATCTATTCCTTGGAGCTGGTTGAAGGTCCTCCTGTGTTTGTCTAGTTTTGCTTCACCTGCAACTCCAGCAGAAACGCCTTCAGCTCTTGCACATACAAGGCCTTGGGAGGGTCCCAGAGACTCCAAGCCTTGCAGTTTCAAAGGAGCACATTCAGGTTTCCATCCTCAAGGCCTTCTTCTCATTTTCTTTTTCTGGAAGGGCTCCAAAGGGGAAGCTTTTTTTCAACTTGGATCTAAGGAAGATCCTGACTGAATAGCATCGCATGTTCTTTTTCTCAAGTGTGTATAAAAACACATCTGAAGAGAAAACAAAAAAAAAAAACATTTAATCAATGTAAAAAAGAAAAAAAGAACAACGAAGACAAAGTACCCCCAACACGTGTGGGGTTTGAAAGATCCTGCATGAATACTGTAGCTCTTATGTTTACCTGCTGTCCTCATTTGGCAATTAATTTTACTTCTGGCTTAGCTGCTGCACAGCTCAAATAACATCGCATTTGCTCTGCATTTTACGATGTTCAAATTGGAGACACAGCTTTTTCCCAGTTTGCTGGAATGCTTCCCTTATCCTGCCTCCTGCTGCCTGAACTTGGGAACTCTTTAATAGAGTTTACAGGAAACTTCAACTGAACATAAAATTTCTAATTAGTTTCTAGTCAACTTCACCATTTCTGGAGAAAATGCTATGCTTGAGTTTAACTGCTTATATAAGGTGCTTGAACTGACCTTATCTTGGCTAGCAGACTCTGAGCTATTTTTTCTCAAGGCCCCCACAGCATGCACATAGAAGCTCTAAACTGGAATTGTAGTTGTTGAATTTCCCCCTTTTGGTAAAGAAAGTGGGTGTAGAGATTTCTCTTAGTATATGCCATAGCTGAGCCAAAGGAACCATGAACACGGACATGAATTTTGCTGGAGGAAACATGGAAGACTTGAGATTTTTCTGCTTATTTTATGGCTATTCTCTGCATCCTGAGGTTTGTGATTCAATGAATGAATCATAACATTGAAAGAGACCTCTCAGAGGTCATCTAGTCTAATTCCCTTATAGATGCAGTATCTGCTAAAGCATTTTGGACAGATGGCTATCCAGCTGCTGCTTGAAGAATTCCACTGAAGAGGAACATACGACTTCATGAGACAGCTAATTTTACCGGTGGACAGATTTTACTATCAGGAAATTCCTCTTAACCTAACGTGATTCTATTCTCTTTGTTGCAAGTCATCAGTTCTTCAGGATGACCAAGAAGAACTCCACTCAGGTTTTTTTTTACAGGTTAACATATAGGCAGTATTTACAATTGGGACTAGAACTTCCATTCCTAAGTGACGTGGTTGTTAATTGAGTCATACCCAATTTTGTGAATCCCCCCCCCCCAAAGTTGTTAAGCAAATCACCCTCACTAACATAGAAGCTGGTCAGGAAGGTTGCAAATGGTGATTAATTGGCCCCAGGATACTGTCATTGTCATAATTATGCAATGGTTTTCCAAAGCTCCTACATTTTGATAATGTGACCATGGGGATTCTGTGATAGTCATAAATCTGAGGACCAGTTGTAAATCACTTTTTCACCACCACTGTAATTGCAAACTGTTAGGTGAATTAGGTGTAAGTGGAGGATTACCTGTTTTTACTTCCTTTAGTATTTAATATTTCTGAACTAACCCGTTGCACCCTATTTAGCAACCTAGTTAAAATAGTTGATCCTTCCCTCCTTTGCCTAAAAAAATATAAAAAATACTCACTGCTTCAGAAAAGATTTTTTTCTCTGTATCAAAAACAGCCAAAAATTCTCCCCTTCCAAAAATAGTTTTTTTACTGGCAGCAGAAAATTTTGGAGATGGATTTATAGATAGATTTTTTTTTTTTTAAAAAAAAATAGAAATGGATTCTAGATGAAGTCTGTATTGGATCAGGAACTCTGCTCTTTATGATGAGTCTTAATTAGGGATCTAAAGCAGGGGTATCAAACTCTATTTCATTGAGGGCTGCATCAGGGTTGTGTTTGACCTTGGAGCATCATGGGGGGGGGCGTGGCACATGACCATGGAGGGCATGGCTGGGGTGGGCATGACACAAGATTCATGTCGGGGGCACCTGTGGTGGCCAAGTGCTAAGGCAGGACTTCCCTTACTCTCCTTACTCTCATTATAATCTCCTTCCTTCCTTTTCTTCTTTTTCCTTCCCTCTTCATTCTCCTTCCTTATTCCTTCCCCTCTTCCTTATTTTTCCTCCTTGCTCTATTCCCAACTTTCCTTCTTTTTCTTTGTCTTTCCTCTTTCCCTTTCTTCTTTCCTGTCCCTTCTTGCATGTTCAAATGCAAAAGGGGAAACATTTCTCCTTTTGTTTTGTTTTTAGTTTGTTTTGATAGCCCTCTGCCAACAAAAACAGAGCTTGGGGGGACTATGTGCAGCCCACCCAGGCCCCACAACACACCAAAGACATAGCAAGGGCTGTCTCTGGCACTGCCTGATGGGCCTGCGACCTGCAAGAAGGGGATTGGGGCAGCCCTGGTGAGATTAGGCATCTCATTCTAGTGTCAGTTTCTCTCTCTCTCTCTTTTTTTTAAAGACAAATTTTATTAGCTTTACACAACAATACACAAACAATCAAGGCATAATAACATAAAAGATCTTTTCTAAGAAAACCAATAGAACATACAAAATAGTTCCAAATTATA